GCCGACAACTGAATAAGGTCATTTTGCTGGCGTCGATCCAACTGCTGACATGGGTTGTGTGCAGATCTTCCACGAGACCAAATATCAAATTTCCTCGTCATTGTCGGTCAATGAGTCCTGATCTCAACTGCTTGCGCGATCATGTTTGTCCAAGATGGTGGAGTGGATGACCTTCCGTACTTGGCCACACTGCTATGGGGGATGACAAATGTGTCTGCGCACACGGCGATAACACTCTCCTATGTCAAATTAGCTTCTCACAGTTAGTCAACGGCGAGCAATGCGTCTCCCGGTCAATGACATAGTTCACCCTATCGGGAGATTTTTAAAGGGACCGCGAACGGATGACTGGTACCAATGAGATAAACAAAGCAGCTCAAGTTCTAGGAGACACAGAAAATAAATACATCTCTGCCAAAAGTCCTACCGTATGCTGTCATGCGGCAAAGAAAGTGAGCACGATAATTTAAAAAATAGATAAAAACAATTTTCTAAAATAACGGATCCAGATTAAACCATCGCTGGCAAGTTTACATTCAGTCAAGAAGTGGGGAAAATTCCGACCAACAGGAACGGCGAACAATAAGTAATGCTTGAAGTCACGCGGAATTTTAATGTACATGTTGGAGTTGCCAGCTGTCCGGGGTCTTACAACCTACCGTTACCAACATCTGCGGTTTTTCCTCCTACTTGGAGACTGATAGGTGTTCGAAGCATGTCGGGGTCACCAACTGTCCAGGGAAAACAATCAAAGTGGGGTGATTTCCAAATTAAAAGCTAAGAATATTAAGTTGGTAGGACAGTCTTAACCGCGGCAGGGAACGCACAAGCAGCACAGAGATCGGCGGTAGCAACTGTTCAACCAGTTTGAGAGCCAGCCGCTATTAGTCCTCACGGCGCCGGGCGCGTGTGTTAACCTGGGCGACATCCTCTGCGGGCAAATTGCCGATCGATGTCAAGATGTCGCTGGACTGGAGAGCTGAGTCACCCGGAGTGTAGGCATTCAACTGACAAGGGGTGCCAGGCGGACCAAAGACGACATGGGAAAACAGATGCGCTCGCTACTACGACATTGGACTGTCACAATTTGCCAGTGTCACCCGCGTTTGTCAACAAAATGAACGCCCCATTCGTTACTATGTTGGACGCTGGCACACGTCATATTATTTCGGGTACTGACAGATGCATACGTCTGAGATCAAAAACAGAAAGTACATTCGGTGCAAAATGAGCAGGTAGGCGATTCAGTCTCGACCGCCGGTGCGTGCTTACTGGTTGTGCGCTTTCTCATACCAAATCACTGTTAAACCCAAAAAGTGTGCTGGTTAATTAAACTGAACTTCATCGTTGAATGTCACGCAAAAATTATTTTTGGAGAAGACCCGATGTCTTTTTCCAACAACCTCATCAAACAGCCAAGCCACTGACCAGTGCGTATTGTTAGAGTGTGATATTGAAGCCGGGGAAAACGTCCGAACCACTTGTGAATATTGCATTTAGCTGTTCAAAGTTAATCTAGGCAGAGAACGTTGAGACACCTTTGGCTGAAGTTGTGATGTGCAACTAAATTATCCTTCGGTCCATTCACTTTGAAGGCGGTCGAAATTATCGCCTAACAACAGAAACTAACATGCGCACTTCGCGAGGTGCGAATGAGGGGAAAGCGCACACCAGCTAGCTCGGTCTTCTGACAGCAGCTTATTCAGTGTGTTCCCAGGGACGAGTTGGTTTTTTTACATGCCACGACGTTTTGGTGTTTGATCCGACAGTGCCAGTTGCTGCCGGGCGGGCGGTGTGGGTGGGTGGAACGCCTTAGCGAGGTCGAGAGCAATGACTGACAGCCCATAACTGCCAACGGTCCTTGCCAGGGCCATTCGTTCTCTGCGGCACGTGGCCGTACGCACACGCTCCAGGGGTAGGTGAATGTTAAGGTCTCAGCGCTGAAGAGTGTCGGGATGTTGGGGCTGCTGACTGGGACCGTAATTAGTATGTTTGCTGGGGTGCTGGTGGTGGTTGTAGAATCTTATTCATATGGTCGACTGCCTCCCTCCTTCCCTCAGAAGTGAATGCTCTAGTGGCCTAAAAAGCTATCTTCATATATGTTAATAACAAGAAAAGAATCTCATTGTGCAATAATTTGCCGTACTAACAACACAGGTATTAGCTAAAAGCCCAGACACGCGTGTTTCGCCGATCTTGTGCCGCTGCCTGACGCAGCTGCGAGGGGTTCGGCTCATCAGTGGGTCCCCCAGCTTTCCCCGTGTGTTTTCTGGTATATGAACTCCAGTTTCAACTTGCCTTGCTTAATTTCCGAGGAAATTAATGCGCGAACTTAGAGTAACTCTTTCGAAACAGGTCTTTACAGGCACGGTCCGAAATTCGATATGAATATTTGAGCTGAAATCCATCAGCTACTGCGGAATAACCGCGCATTAATTTCCTCGGAAATTAAGCAAGGCAAGTTGAAACTGGAGTTCATATACCAGAAAACACACGGGGAAAGCCGGGGGACCCACTGACGAGCCGAACCCCTCGCAGCTGCGTCAGGCAGCGGCACAAGATCGGCGAAACACGCGTGTCTGGGCTTTTAGCTAATACCCGTGTTGTTAGTACGGTAAATTATTGCACAATGCTATACTACTGGCTGCCTGTTGGCGGTTTGTGAATATTAAGCGGTTATTCCGCAGTAGCTGATGGATTTCAGCTCAAATATTCATATCAAATTTCGGACCGTGCCTGAAAAGACCTGTTTCGAAAGAGTTACTCCAAGTTCGCGCATTAATTTCCTCGGAAATTAGGCAAGGCAAGAAAAAGATCTATTATTATTCGTTTTGCGAAGCAGTTGGTGTGACTCCTCTCAACTAGGCGGACGACGGTCTAAGCAGCACGCCCAAAAAGTCACCCCAATTAAGGCCAGGCGAAATATCTATCAGCAATAAGAGACCGAAATATATGAATACGGAGTAAAGAGCAAATGGCGGTGCGTTTAGTAGATCGGCTTTACGCACACTACTTTAGACTGCAACAGTTTTCCAATGCTACATTTTGCCACACAAGGGTGAAATAATGTGGGGGTTCTTCACTAATGGCTTTCCTGTTGAAAACTATGCTTTAACAGAATTTCCGACCATAGCACGAGACTTTTCGACAAGCGTAATGTGTGCAGGTGTCTTCTTTCACGTAAACTTAACCGTTTGTGCTAGCCTTATGCCTGAACAGATGAAAGACCCTAATAATCATCCCCCAACTGGCGTGTAATTATCTTTAAACAAACTGAGTTTCAGCTCTCGATGAGGCTTAATTTTTAGCGGATCTCTCTTTAGTTGGGCCTGACTGACTACCAGAAAGGATATGCGGACAGTTTTGAAAGAACTCCCATTGTAACTGAAAGTGTCACCGGAGCCGATAGCGGTCGAAGGACAAGTAGAGACTCGACCCAATACAGGCTTAAAAATTATGAAAGAGACGGCGCCTTTTATGACTGTGGAGAACAGGATAATTATGCTGTCTGTGAGTTAAAACCAGCCTTTTTGCCTTCCAGTAGAAATCACTGAGGACTTCAGAAACACTCTTAAACTTAGGTTAGATTAGGCGCCTGGAAGTACTTTTTAGCAGAATTTTAATTTGCCCGCAGTCAACTTTGATAAACGGGAATCTTGTCCCTTTACAAATAGCCCTAGGAAGTATAATCCTATTTACAGATGCGGAGACCACGACCATTGCCATCTCCAGAGCTCTAATTAAGGCTTAAACAGCGTGTCACAGCCAGATGGGTAGATGGGAGAGAAGGAAAGCGTGTTCTGTAAACACCCACTGTGTTCTCAGTCTGCGAGCACACAATTCCTTAACTCCTCAAAAGGCGCCTTATTTACTTGGGGTCCTGAGCGTTCTGGAACATTCCGGCCTATAGCGCGTCGGCGGTGGATTGGCCGTTGCGTGTGCGGAGCAGCCTCGAGGAAAGATGTCGAATGCTCGACCAATTATTGATTGGGCTGCACGCGTGCTCGATGCCGCAGCACACGCTGTCTAATTTCACGCCTGTATCTCGCTGCCGGCTTGACCTGCTGTTTCTTATGTGGTCAAATCCTTGGCTACAAACCGCGTGCGCACTGCATAACACAACGGTTCTCTCGATTATTTTCGCCATGCTTTTTAGTATCAATTTCAGGACATTTTTCCGATAGGTAAATTTCCCATCGGCGGACAGGAGATCTCGTTCGTTTAAGTTCACAGGGACGCACGAGAGTCTACTCAAAAAATAAACGTAAAAACGAACAAAAGCATTTATGGCTTAGAGTTGCGAAAATTCCCATAGCAGTAATCAGAAGACGAGGTGGCGAGCATACGTAGCCTTCGATAAATTCTCATCGGGCCATTACAGTTATATAGAAACGGGGTAGAAGTTAAACATGTCAGCGATAAGAGAAATCGATAAATATTCTCGTTAAAACACAGGCGGGGTGTGGGACTGTGGAGGAGGGGGATAGGGCGGGGGGGGGGGGTTGGAATTGGAAACTCAGTTCGAGAACCTATGGAACCAAACCTATGATCTAGTGCCCACTTCCACAGACAGTATCCAACACTTTAAATCAACATTGGTGAATTACAGTTATCAGTACCTGAACAAGGGGCCAAAAAGTCGGGGATTGCTGACAAAAGCACATGTGGAAAAGTTAAAAGAACTTCGAGAGAACAAAGATATCTTGGTAACTAGGCCGGACAAAGGAACAGGCGTCGTTGTAATGAACAGATCGGACTACGTAGCGAAGCTACAGTCCATATTATCAGACCAGAAGAAATTCAGGAAGGTAGACAAAGAAAAGGCTTGCACGGAAGAAGTAGAGAGGGAACTGACTGACTGTCTAAGAAGGCTCCACACAGGGGGTCACATAAAAGACCGCGACCTAGAACACCTCCGACCAGTCGGCACACATATCCCTCGACTATATGGTCTGCCTAAGATCCATAAGGAAGACCTGCCAGTCCGTCCAATCTTAGACATGCCAAACTCTCTTTATCATGCGATAGCAAAGTGTCTAGCAGAGAAACTCGAGCCCCTACAGCGTCAGCTAGCACCACGGAGCTACCGAGATACCTTTGAATTCATTGACGACATCAAAGACCTTAACGTCAACGGCTTGGTGATGTTCTCGCTAGACGTCTCATCACTTTTTACAAACGTTCCGGTCACCGAGACAGTTGATTACATCTGTGATTTTCTATCTGCCAGTCAGCAGGAAATAGGAATTCCGGCGAAGACGCTCAAGGAACTACTACTAAGATGCACATTAACTGTGCAGTTCCTGTTCGACAACCAAATCTATAGACAAGTAGACGGCGTTGCTATGGGCTCACCCTTTGGACCTTTCCTAGCAGATGTCTACATGGGCAAATTAGAGAGATTCCAACTGAGCAATCAGATCGATAAGCTTAAACATTACGGTCGCTGTGTTGATGATATCTTTGCAATTGCCACTGCAGAAACCGACGTAGCTACCCTCTTAGATGCGGCAAACCAGGCACATCCGTCGATCAAATTCACGCTGGAGATCGAAACGGTCGGTTCGCTCCCTTTCTTAGATGTTCTTCTAAGCAGGAGACCTGACGGGAGTGTACAAAGAAGCGTCTATCGGAAGAAAACCTGGTCTGGACAATACACGAACTTTGCCAGTTTCGTACCCCTCCAACAAAAACGAAATCTAGTTCGATGTCTGGCACAAAGAGCTAGAAAAATTTGCTCAAAAGATTGCATCGAGGAGGAGATCAGAAAAATCCAGGACTTCCTTCGAGAAAACGGGTATCCTGACAGGTTCATTGCAAAGAACATTGCCGAAAGACCGGTCAAACCAGCCACATCGACCGCTGAAAAGAAAACTTTGTTCCTCAAAGTCCCTTTCCGAGGGGACGCGACGAGTGAACTCCTAAGGAGACGCCTTGATCAAGCTGTCTCGCGAACCTTCCCAGCAGCAAGGGTTCAAATATCATTCTCTACTAACCCTATTTTACGCGGGGAAGGTAAGGATAAGTTGCCACCGCAGACCACCTTAATGTGCATATATTCCTTCACTTGCTTCTGTAGAGCAGGTTATATTGGTCGCACGAGTCGGCGCTTATCCAAGAGAATACGCGAACACCTCCCGGCATGGCTGGGAAAAGGCGAAACGAGGGGTATAAGCAGCGCCATGCTCGCGCATGTGGTCGATTCCGAACATCGTGTGGACCCCAACGAAACTTTTTGCGTGATTTATAAGGTCCCATCGAGCTACCGTAAGCTACTAGGCCAGCGCATGTTAGATACAGCGGAAGCGACCGCCACTAGGTTACGAAAGCCGGCCTTATGCGCACAGAAGAACCACGTTCAGGCTCCGCGCCTACAGCGGTCGAAGGTTGACTAGCGGTGCAACTCCCCCCGCGCACTTCCGCTCTCACCCCGGCCCTGACAGTGACTACTACTACCCCCCCCCCCCGCCCTAGCCCCCTCCTCCACAGTCCCACACCCCGCCAGTGTTTTAACGAGAACTTTTATCGATTTCTCTTATCGCTGACATGTTTGACTTCTACCCCGTTTCTATATAACTGTACTGGCCCGATGAGAATTTATCGAAAGCTACGTACGCTCGCCACCTCGTCTTCTGATTTATGGTTTGCTTTAATCATCTTGTGACACGTTTAAACAGTACGGAACTGCGTTCACAAGGCCTGGTGCTAGCGGAGACTAGTTTAGTTATTAAACAAATCGTTATCGGAGCTCCAGGCCTCTAGTAGCTAGATGCCCTTCTTCCTGGCTACCCGCGTGTGCAATTTCGTGCCTGCAGAGTTAAGGCCATGCCTATCACTCATTGCTAATAATCTATTTACCCAAATTGTTGAATATGCAGGGACAGGTCTATGATAACAGCTTAACCGTTGTGACGTGTTGTTTTTTTGAGAGTGGTTTGATTGAAACACTTAGTTCAATTTTGTCCTCATTATTTTTGAGAGTATAATAATCCAACATAATTCAAGCGCCCAATTACGTGCGACGAAGAGATATGTGCATCAGCATAAATAAACATCGCACGTTTCGCACAGATGCACATATTTTTCAGCAGTCATTAAAAACCAAAAATTTGCTAAGTCTCCCAAATTTTTGCCCAGAACGTTTGCTTATTTGCGTTTTAAGGGCGTCTTGTCGAGGCAGGGCTTTCTAAACACAATTAATTCAGGATCATGCAGACACCTGCATGTTAACTGCCAAACCATAATGTCATGATTTTAAGTATGCCCAGATCAAATAAACTGAAGTAAACACTATCATGTAAATGAACCAAAAAGACTACGGTTATAGCGTGCAGGCCATACAGCAAGTGGGTTAACTCATGAAACGTCGACCGAAATTCCGAAATGTGTTTTCGTTTCGGAAAGATTAATTTAGTATCGTCGTAAAACTAATCACCGTGCAGCATAATTCTATAACAAACCAGTTACTTCAGGATGTCGGCTTCCGAACGACCTTCTTTCCGACTGCATGCATAAAATCTACTCCATGAAAAATGACTACATATGCAGCATGAATTTTTCTCATTGATTTTCGATGCCCTTAAAAATTCAATTATATTTCATAGAAAACATGCATACAAATATTCATTCTCCTGCTCACTCGGTAGGAAATTACGTGTTCTTCCAATTTTATACTTGAAAGAAGGGTATAATTTGGGTTTCAAAAAGACTTTACCAATTCCCGGATAAGTTTGAATCAGACCTGCCGTTACACTTGCATTCGGGGTTTCCAAGTCACAAGTCGTCTATTTTCTGCGTACGGAAAATTATACATTTTTCTACGGTATTAAAAGAGGGCTGCATAGGATTTACAAAATTGGCAGTGGATTAAAGTTATATTGTTAACTTTACATGTCACATTGGTAACTGCACAGACATGATGTTTTATGAAGGGTCATTTCATGGTATTAAAAAAATCCCACAAATAAAAACTTTTTTTAAACCAACGTATACACTCCCTTCGAGTAAAGTCTTGAAAGTAGACGTAATTTCCTACCAAATGAGTAAGAGAGCGAATATTTGATGCATGTTTTCCATGTAATATAATTGAATTTTTAAGAGTCTCGGAAACCGATGGGGGAAAAGCATGCTACATATGTTGCCATTATTCACAGAGTATAGTTTATGCATGCAGTTAAAAAAAGTGCGTTAGAAAGCCGACATACTGAGTTAACAGGTTTATTATAGAATTATGCTGTACGATGATTAGTTTAACAATCCTACGCAATTATTCTTTTTAACTCGAAAATGCATTTCGGAATTTAGGTCGACTTTTCATGAGTTAGCCCACCTACTGTAAGTACCTCTTGGGTCGATCCACAAAATTACCAAGCCGAGATGATTTTAGCCGACAAAAGTGCAGACAGAAGAGCGTCAGTCGGTGTTGTCAAAATAATGCTGCAAAGATGCTACAGCCCTACCATTACCTTTGCGACCCAGGCTTAAAACACACGTGGAGCGCAGGATTAGAAAATTCGCAAGACGCCATATTAACCATGCCTCTGCAAATAGGTCTTTCAGCTTTGCTACCACTGAGATTACCATCTCACAATAACTCACCCGAAGTAAAATGTATTCACTGAAACGCAAAAGCGGATTCTGTTGTCCACGATCTGGCTACATTCTCTGAATACGAGCGAAATGACTTAGCACATGTCTAGGTGGTCTTCCTCGGCGTATCAACTACCCTCCTCCCCCAACAGGATATGGAACTCAATGAGTTTCGGAGAGATCGTGCGATCTAAATTTGGGCGGGAGAAACTCGAACTGCAGTTAGCACCGTCAGCCGATGCAATGGACATAGACATTGTGATCGTCACATCGTGCATTTGAGGAGTCTTTGTCCCCTTTGTTTGTCCCCGAAAACTCTCTGTCATCAATACGCGTGAAAAGGTGACCGTAAACCTGGTCTCATCTCTCGGCAGCTTCCCTGGACTTCTCCAGGTACAGATCGGAGGTGGAAGATAGGATGGAGTGTTTCCACGCTACGTGTCTTTATCATAATTAATTCGAAGTTCTTCTGAGACCTTGTCACGTCTTATGACCCGTAGCATTGAAAGTTGTTGACGAATATACCGGGTAGATCGCCCTCGGACTGCGGGCTGGAATGGGATGGCTCGTTTTTGAGTTGGGGAAGTCGTCATCACGCACGTGACCTATGTCCAAAAGGACTTTTGTCAGGTCAGCGAACTGACCCACGCTCGTCTTCAGTTGTTTTGACCATTTCGTCCTTTAAAACATAATGGGTTTGGGGTAGAGAGGGATTCCAAGCACCGTAGATCGTCAAGACCATAGTTGAAATCACGCGCGCCGCAGCTGCCTCGTCAGACAGTGGTGGTCGTCGTCGGTTATGACAGACGACCTACCTGGTGTCGACTTCGTCAGGCCGGATTCTACTTCAAGGCAGCGGATGAGCCGAACGACTACGCGCTAGAACTGAAAACCGACCAAGCTCTCTACGTGGGATCTGTTGCGTCCTCTTCAGCGAACTCAAGCAAAATCTTCTTTTATTTAGGCAAGCGCATCTCGAACAATACAGTGACTAAAAGTTGCACGGTATTCTCATGTAACGATTTTAGGACTCATAATCAAACAGTACGCTATCAACTACGTATTATACTTCATATTTCATTAATTTCTGAAAAATATTTACTTGAAAGATATATAGACGGGACGCTTAGATATGTTATTGCGTTTATATGTTTTTATTTCTTTGCTATTTGCATGGACTGGCCTTATATTCTTACAAAAACTGAGCTTACTCGTTTGACGAGAATTTCCGCCTCTCCAACATCGTCACTTTTCTTGATAAAATTGTTTTTCCTAAGCAACACAATATTATTTTCAATATTTATTTAGTGTTCTCATTTAATTTAAGATCGGCCGTTTTTAAATCAGCGTTTTGTTTGGTGCAGTTGGAGCGATTTACGATATATTTTAGGGATTTTTCGTTAATTTAGACATATTCCATGGGTTGCGCCGCCTTCCACATTTTGGAATAAGAGGCAATTTCGCAAATAACTGAGGGTCGGAAATCAATTAGAAATAGTGAACTGCTGAAAGTTGGAAATGCGTTGTACAGCATTATAATTGCACATGAAGCCCCTCACTGCTCACTATTATCCTGACGGACAGCCTTGCTTAGAATTACCAAGTCACTGACTCCACTGGTGTTAGATAGCTTTAGAGGTTTCTCGCGGAAGATTTAGTCGCTCTTTCATGGAAGGCTATAAAGTTACAGTTATGGAATTTTAGTGAGCGCTACTTTTTTGCTCGATACCTATTTCGGGCCGTTTTATATACGGAGTATTCAGGAGATTCTGCTACGGTTTGATAAGAATTCCGTGGGATAAATACGTCCATTTGCTGAGAAGATTAGTGGCTCATCTAGGCATAACTCTTAATTGGGCACTGAGGGGGCGGACTCTTCATTTTCGTTATCGCAGTCCCAGAATAACACATAGTTGAGTGTCCGGAAGTAGGTGAGAGGAACCGCAACCAACAAAGAAGTATTTCTTACTTTTTATTTAAGACTCGTCCAATAACGTTTTTTATCAATTGTTGAGTCTTCACTCGCTAACACACAAGTGCTGCTTCAACCACAAACCATGAAGGTATGGAGGTCTGACAAATAGCGCTGCAAAACGTTCACCTAGAGGGGTGTTTTTATTCAGAGACAGGGTTCTGCCGAACAAATGTCCATCTAACTATTTAGATGACAGTCTGTCTCTGCTTCTATATTTCCTTCTACCAGCAGGCATTTGATCAACCTATTGACGCGTTAAGTGTTACTGTCGCCATGTGAGACTGCAAAGCAGACAAAATGGAAGCCAAAGCAATGGTGGGTTAAACAGTATGCATGGGAAGTGATTTTCAAGCCCAAAATTGTGTTGGTATCCGTTGAAAGAAAATAGATGAATTTCTGTAGGAACGGAAGAATTGATCAATTACGACAGTCTTTTTGGGATACAGATTCTGATTTTGACGTTTAACGTAATTGCAGTTTTAAGTCCCTGTTGCATTCACTTCATGAAGGCCCTGCTTATGCAGCAGCCTGCCTAGTTACGGGTGCTGTCATTGTTAAATCCAACAGCCAACTCTTAGTACATTATCCTGTTTTTAGTTCACTGCATCGTGGCCGCTTTCCAGCATGAAATAAGCAAGTGCAAGTTAGAATCGTCCTGAATTTTCTCCCGATCATATTTGTTTCGTGCTAAAATCCGAGTGTTTAACCCAACCTTTCACATTATCTTACAACAAATAAAAGAGATTTCGATCCCAGTAAACAATAGTTTCGTCGTGCGACGAATCGAATTTGTTGCTCTAGTTTTGTGATTACAATGGTAGCGGATCCTGAATATTTTTGACGGTGCAGATGTCTATATTGAAAAAAAGTCTGCCACCATGTCCTGTTTGAGCACTTTTTATGGAGATTTGTGCGAAAGATTCTATTCTTAGAATCGTGACATTAACGCAAACAAAATTCAAAAAGGACAGCCACCAGCGTTAGAAGATTGCAGTTGAAGCAGGCGTGCATTTATAGTCATTCCGCGATCTTTAAAGAAAAATGAAGACGCAGCCGACCCAAGTACAAGGACTACTTAAAAAGCAATTGACATGATTAATACATAGTTAAGACGTATCGATTGGAACGGACAACTGACTGACAACGAGGAAATCAACTGCGTACATTTTTTATAAATAAATGCCAAAAGTGTCAGTAGATTTTCCGAAAACACATTTGTGAGAGGACCGCTAACTGCCAATAAGGAGTGCATAATGACTCCAATTTCTCAATGCTTAAAACCACGAACGCACTCACTGTGAACTTACACGCTTGATGAATAATCTGTGTAATTGGAAGGTGGTACAGGAAAATAGCAGTCCTTCACATAGCAACATATCTGTTTATTTTGCCTTACCTGAGGAAGTTTGCCATCTTTTCATATTTGCCTAACAGGAGGTCTAATGTATGTTTTGAAGCAAGCAGCTTGTTTTTCTCAAACTCGCATCATCTTTTAGGAGCAAGGGATATTGGAATAGAGAGTCCAGTTTAAGGTTGTCAAAAAGGCTCCACGCAAGTGTATCGTCTCAACAAAGCATTTTATTCTGCATCCCACAAAGTAATATATTACTTAGCACCCTGTAGGGAGTTCTACAAGTTTGTTTCCACACTTGGCGTACTAAAACAAAAAAGTCGAAAGATTTCAGGAATTGTTCTTAGAGACCATCCGCAAGTAAATCTGTAAAACCTTAATGTGTGGTGCGTAATTTGGAAAAATAAGGTACCAAAACAGTGAAAGTGCAATATTTACGAGTATGGAGAAAACGAAGGAAAAATATTTAATTCGTAATTAAAACACTCATATGATGTTAAGTTTTCTCTAGCCAATAATGAAAACCTTGATGAAACAAAGTCGCACAGGACTTAGGCGTGGTGGTGCGCCTACGTGAGGGTTCACGCCGAGCCAGCCACATACGCTCGGTCCCGCTTCCGGTCTGCTATTAAAAAGATCATTACCCATGAAAATTTATCGGCCTGATGATGAGTTACTGAAAACATATGTTTTCCAACTGACTTTCCAACAGCATACATGAACATCAATTAGGATGAACAAACGCAACCAACTATTCCAAGTGACCATACATACACTGGATACTGGGTACAAAATTGCCCGGTAGGACACTCACATTGTTGGCACCTGCCCCATAAGGTATCAGCAGGCTTTTCTTGACATGGACTGTTGGGAATGCAGCAACAAAGGCAGTGTGTGCGCGTGCGCACCTGGACACGTAAATTTATGCTTGATGGTCAAACATTTGCACGATATCAATGACTAGCATAACTGCTGTGTAAATATCCGCATGTTTTTTTTCAAACTTCTATCTATAAATAGGGTTTTCCAAGATTCTGCCTCTATCCCTCATATATACTGAATTATACTGAACCTACTGCAACGTCTGGAATCCACCAAATCTGATACAGTAAGTTAACTATCCAAGAAGGATTTCCTGAATAGTTCACCTAGAATCCACCAGATAACTTCCAGGCTCACGCAATTCATAGATGTTTTGGGAGATTTCTGAATAATTCCTATTGACACAGCTGTGAAAAACGCGGCGTCTCAGTGGGATTAGAAAGCACGACAGTAAGAGGAGGACTTTAGTACAGCCAACGCTCTAACCACGTGAACTACGAGGCCCCGCCGGACGACGCGAGTTTAGTCACATTTGCTTAAATGGACCCAAGGCGCCGAGGTTTTCACAGTTGAGTCAATATAAATGATCCAATTTTGTCCGTCCGCCAGCTTGCTACTGGTGACAACGAACTTATTGTCGTAGGACACGTACCACATGTAATACGTAATCAGCTCACTAAAAATGCAACATGCTAGACGCAGACAGTTGTTTCACAGTCATTACCGATCACCACTACGTCATAGGCCATATGTGTCCTATGACACAATGTTCGTTGTCGCCAGTGGCAAGCTTGAAGGCGAAAAGAATTGGATCGAGTGAATTTCTAAACACAATAGTGAGGACAACACACTCATGAAACGTTTGTATATCTCACTTAATATGTCCTTTGACGTACTAATGACCGGTAATGACCGCGTAACAGCTGTCTGCGTCTAGCTCGTTCACTCTTAGCGAGCCGCTTACGCAATATATGTACATACATATATACACTGATTGTCTTAGACTCGAATGTTTATTGAAATTTCGGGTCTGACCAAATAAGCTATGTCCCGGAGACTGAACTCCATGTCCTGCACTGAATAATTTCTAAAATTATTCACTCGATATATACATGAATTGAAAGGAGGGTATCACAAGAAATTTGACTAGAAGGATCAGATTCCTTGATGAACTGTAAGTCTTGTTGTGCACCCTTTCGAAACTGGTCCCTCAGTTTGTCATCAGGCTACGGGTGTCCAAAAAACAAGTAATTTCTTAACCGCGTCCAAAAGAGATTCTACGATTGGTTGGCGTCTGTGTCAACACGTGTTAATGAATTTTGTCACCTCGTCAGAAATGGTTACGGCGATTTGTATTTGTTCGTAATAATTGTGTATGTGGCACCCAGATCAATGTTTCATTTGATGCATGCCTCATCTGAGTTCATTGCTCCAGTTTTACCTTATGGGGCAGATGCCAACAATGTGAGTGTCTTACCAGGCAAATTTGTACCCAGTATCCAGTGTGTGCATGGTCACTCGGAATAGATGGTTGCGTTTATTCATCCTAATTGATGTTCATGTATGCTGTTGGAAAGTCAGTTGGCAAACATATGTTTTCAGTAACTCATCATCAGGCCGATAAATTTACATGCGTAATGATCTTTTTAATTGTGGACAGAATATAAATGTGTCTAAGAGGGTAGGGTTAGTCAGACGCCATGTTCCTACGCCGCCCGCATGACGGAATCAGCGTGTTGAAGACGGTGGACTCCGGGTGGGAGGACGGAGGGAGAGGGGTTCCAGTTAGGTTGTAAGCTCTGTCAGTATGTTAAACACGCGGAGTGAGGTTGACCGTTCTCTGGGCGTCGGGACGGCTTGCGAGCACCACCTGGAGTTGGCCAAGGAAGACAGGCTCCTTGTGCCAACGCCTTCTGACAACAGGGTATTGGGTTAGCTAATCGAATGGTCACTGTTTCGGCTATGGCTATCACTCGTTTGCGCAGGCCTTTAAAATAGTGTGCCGGCGCCCGGTAGCTAACTGTAATATCCGGGTTACCTGTCGGTTTAGCCTCGTCTAGGTCAATGTCCTCAGAAGGTGTTTGGCGTTGATCGTCAATGGGGGCGACTGTAAACATGTTCATTTCTGAGTTTTCTCGCAAGAAGATCGTACACAATCAAACACGCGGAATCCAACAGGCAATACTGAACTCAAATCGTCAACGACTGAATGTTTATAAAATAGGGATCTGAAGAGCGGGCGAATCGCACATTACTCGGTCAAGGGGGGAAGACAATGGAGAAGTAAACGAGAAGTAGAGGAGAAATCTTCCTCAAGTTTATCCTTTGTCTGGTCGGGATGTCGGCATGCGTAATTCTTCAATCGGCGCGTCCGATTCGTGTTTGGTCACTCTTGCTTCAAAGAAAGCGGAATGTCGTTCAGGGAGACGTTACCAAAAAAGTAAAACAATCCTAATTCAAAATACTAGTTCTTTACATACCATTAAAGGCTTCTTAAGCGTCGGCTTAGTGACTAGTATCGATTAGGTGTGCGAGAATTATACGTGAAATCGCTCGACTTTTCTCTCTACCTAGTCAGGCAGGCATGTGTTCGCATATTCTCCAAGATAAGTTAATATTCTGTCCACAATCAAAAAGATCATCAACCATGTAAATGTACTGGCCTGATGATAAGTTACTGAAAGCATATATTTGTCAGCTGACTTTTCAGTTTTTATATGGGAATTTTCATGTATGCGGATTAAGACGGATTGCCCAGTTTGGTCACAAGAGACGGCATCACAACTGGCACCTGGGATTTTGTAGCCAACACCTTGCCTATAGAGTTAACCAATCCCGTTCTAAGAATGTAAAAGGTGTGTGCGCAAGGCAGTTGATGGCCGGTGTGCTATGTGTATCTAATTTTTTAGCTGCCTTTCGGCTAGTTTAGAACAGTTTTCACCTATGGGAGAGCTGGCCAGGTATTTGGTTTTGGTGCCCGGGCGGCCGTGGCATTGGAAATACCTCCACCTTGAATTGCTGGCGCCTCAGGAATTGACGTACAAAGTCATGCAAATATTCATTTTGGAAACGTAGTTTGTAGAGGTATTTCATTCCTGCTCGATAACTTGCTTCACCGGAGCAGTGAATTTTGGCTTGATTCAGAAGGTTGTAGACTGTATTCCGCTTGTCAGAAACAGGATGATTATTCTCAAAATGCAGGACGACCTCTAAATAAGTCTCCTTGTCAAAACACTAGTGTGTGAACTGGTCCATCAGTTGGTGTCTAACCAATAGGGGAAGGTCGCATATTCCTGAATGCAATGCACTCAGATGAGGCATGCATCAAATGGCACATCGATCTAGGTGCCACATACACAATCATTACGAACAGATACAGACCGCCGTAACCCATTCTGAAGAAGTGACAAAATTCCATTAACACGTGTCTGTACAGACCTCAACTACTCGTAGAATCTTTTTTGGACACGGTTAAGGAATTAATTGTTTTTGGACACCCGTAGCCTGATGACGAACTGGAGGACTAGTTTTGGAAATTTGCACAATATGATTTACAGTTCCCCACGGAATTTCATTTTCCTAAACATATATATATATGTTAGGAAATCATGGGATTCTTTAGGACAAATTAAACTTTGATTGAGAAGTCTCGGGGGTTGGTCCTCCAGCTCTTCTTCAGACTATGGGTGGTGTACAAAGGCACCTAAGTAAGCATTCTACGATTAGCCAACGCCTGTACATTTTAATTGCAACTCGTCATCTATTCGAGATTGACTGTGTTTCTTTGAATTTTTCCTTGAAGATTTTGTATGTGGCATCTAGATAGATGTGTCGATGGATGCATGTCTCGCCTGAGTGCTTTGCCACTAGAAATTCCGTCCTAACTTACGAGGTAGGTGCCAGCAATGCGAGTGTCCTACCGTGCAAATTGGTACCCAGTATCCAGTGTGTGTATGGTCACTTAGACTAGATGGTCGTCTTCCTTCACCGCTAACTGATGTTCATGTATACGGGCTGGGACAGATTTACAAATTTGGTCACGATAGGGGACATCACAACGGGTACATGTGATTTTGTTGGTGACACATTTTCGATCGAGTTAGCCAACCCTTAGAGTGTGCGGGCTGCGTGCGTGGGGTAGTTGCCGGTTGGTGTACCGCGTGTATCTGATGTTGTATTTTTCCACAGAATTTCGTCACTGCCTCATCAAATCTCTCGGAATGACCATTTTTCAAAACGTACGTATGTATATTTATTTACATGAATATGCCTGTTTAACACGGCATCCTGTTTCGTGATGAAAACGTTCTCTCGTCAACTATTTCTTGGCACTTACTGCATACGGGTTGTAAAATCCTACGCCTGAGGTGTCGCTGTCATGGTATTATTTCCAACTCTCCATTCGGTTACGCCCTCCTTTGGACACTGAACGTTCATGTACCCGAATTGCCAATTATAACCCATAAATTTCGATGCAATCTCCTTTAACTGGACATAATGATGCGCAGATGCATGACATGCACAGGGATACAGCTCAATGAACGTCACTGGTTTCCCTGCTTTCGATTCGACAACCCTGGATAGACAGAAGACTGTAACTGACTTCACAGCGTATAAATAGTCATCCAGGTGCGATGCCTAGTCAGAGATCGCGTATGCTGGGGGCTAAATAGCCCGTTGATAGACTCCGGAGCATAAACGTACACATATGTGAACACTGGACAACAAATCAGACGGCTAGCCTGAAGCGTCGGTCTATTGGTAGGAAAATTAATTCCATGACAGTTCACCTATGTAGTCAGTGCAGTTGTGGCGAAGTAAATCGCGTGCGCCCGGACGAAATACATTGTGCGTGTGCACATTTCAGTGTGTGCAGGTGCGCACACGCACACACACACTGCCTTTGTTTCTGCAGTCCCTACGGAGGTTGAAGGCTTCATCTTCAACCCTCCAAACGCCCGTGTCAAGAAAACCCTGGTGATTCACATGGAAACAGCAAACACTCTGACCCAAGTGAGGCACACGAATTTTTTTGAACATTGGTTGCCGAAAATTCCCGCATCTTCTGAGCGCCGGGAGGGATGATGCAGATTTTGAGTGGCGTTCATTTGACAGGATGAATGTCAAATGGACCAGAAGACTGTTCTAAGAATATTATATTTTCCTTGCCCTACCTAATATCGTAACTTCAGCCTAAAGTATATCTTTGTGCTTTATTGCGCACTCGATAATATGTCAAAAAGGTAATTCCCTACAATGCAGAAGCCCTTACAGCCTCAAAGTGCATTAGGAGCTCTGGTTAAGGAGGTGCGTCTTGTTAACGACTGTCGTAAAGTAGCCTATAAGACAGATTTTCTTCGGTGGGAACTTTTCAATATGCTGCATGATTTACAGAGTTATTTAGGACGATGCATATGAAGGGCCAACAGATCATTTAAATGCGAAGAAGGAGGTACGATAGCTGGAAAAAGAGCTTTATTTGCCTGACGTTTTGGATTCCCACTCAGCTCCATCATCAGAGACAGAGTCAGATAAGGGTGGTAAATCACTCAGGTGATGCAGTATTTATAGGGTGTAGTCGCTAGGCTGCTACATGCCTATCACAGTTGGCAGCTCCCGAGTGCATCACGGCCCGACTGGCCAGGTGTTGAAGTTGGAAGTTGCCATGTAGTTGCTATGCGCTTCCGTGCCGGTCAAGATTATCGACTCCCACGCTCCTCGCACGCAGTCGAATTGCTGACTGCCGGATTTCGTCATTCGGATGATGGTGGATTCGAGTGAGAATCCGAAACTTCAGGCTAACAAAGCTCTTATTCCAACGATTTCGCCTCCATCTTCTCGACTACTTCCTGGAACTTGCCTCTTCGCTTCTACTAGCACATCGTTTAAAGGCTTCGCATATGAGACAAAGTGCTTTATCAGGGACGCCGGAAAATGGGTGTTGATACGGTAACTGCAAAATTGTAATAATAATGCATTTTCGCAAAATATGTATGGAAATAAAAATATCAAAATCATGCGAGAGAGATAGCAAATAATCTTGTGTCACGCGTAAATTAACTATTAAAAATACAGTCTCCTAAACAAAGGCAAATTATTTCCTAGGTTTTAGACATAAACCCCACCCCGTGCTAGGGCAGAGATAACACTGGCTCAGCGTATCCCTAAAGAACTCGATGAAAATAATCTTCAAAAAGGTTGAAAATCATGGTCTTATGTTTTCAACTTTTGCGCATAGCCACAACCTTACGTTATTTTGCATGATGATGCATTTAGAGGTAAGCAAAGGCTTCCCGTGTATTAGTATATATTCCAAACAACGTATAACGATTCATAGTAGATCGACGTTGCAATTTGATAAAAGTTGCTGTTTGGCTACTTACCAACCTGCCTCAAGCAATGGCAAGTGACTAGCTTCCACGCAGTGATCTTTCGTGCCTTTCAGCTGTTGCTCTCCTTCATCCCTATGCTAATGTATGATGGTTTTTTTCAGAAGCAATAACGTACAGGGAAAAGGAAGACTAGAAGGACCATTTTTGCTTTAGTGGGCGTCATCAGCCAGTCGTAGCCTGACCCCAGCCCTGAATACGGGAAGTTTCAGACCTGGATTTTATGGCATTGCGCAATAAATTCTAGCGCCAGGCCACTGATCCAAGGCTAAGTTGGATTTTCGTTTGCGACCAGGGAGTAATAATTATTCTGAAAGTGACTCCTCAACGATTTGGTTGTAAAAGGAAACGAGAAACAATGCAGGCGAAATGCCGACAAAACCAAGGGAGGCTGGAATGGCCGGATTCGACTTATTAGCTGTCATCAGATAACAGGGACTCCACACAAAAGTCGAAGTCAGTGGAACGAGCACATTCCGCCCGGCAGTCAGAAAATCGGAGCGCTAATCTCATTGTAATTGGGCGCTTATTAGCATCTTGGCACATATATCCTAACGAGCGATTATCGGTTTAGACCTTCTGGCAAAATCATAAGGAAATAATTGGATAACCTTCAAAAATGTGCTTATGGCATAGTATTCAAAAGAAAATTGATATGCATTTAAATCACAAAAAATTAAGCATACGCTTGATACAGTCGCTGTTAACAGAAAAAAAGAATCACGATTTGCAAGTAAACGAGAAAGGTAGAAACGAATAACTATTGAGAAAGATCTCGACTCAAATGGATTTGCTCTCCAAAATAAACTTGCACGTAGATTTCTTTCGTGTAACATGCGCCTGAAAGGAAAGGTTGAGTTGCAGAAATCAAAACAACCAGGCTGAAATTTTCCATAGCTTTAATGAAATTGGGAGCTTCCATCAAGCATTTCTTTAAAGGAGCTTGCTTAACATTTTCCTGACTCATACGATTCTTCTCAAGGAAAGCAGGGATATGTCCGTTGAACATTTCCTGAACTTGTTAAAAAATGTTTGCATTTCACCTGGATACATCTTTAAGACAACATTGCACTGCAAAGTTTATTGATTTCCAATTCTGCTCCGAAAACCATGTCAGGCTAATTTACCTATGCCAGATGTCAAAAGGTAAGCCTTACATCTGTACGGTAGGCGAACGTGCAACTGGATGGTAACAAGTGTGACATTAGTTTATCCTACTGAGAAGGAAAATTCGAGGGCTGGAATGAATCAAGTGCAGCAGTTGCAGCTCTTACGGGACAGAATTCTAATTAAAAATCGGGCAGTCCAAGATTGTCTACTTCCGCACTTTGGTCGAGAACCTAAACAAAGAATGCTTTATTTAGTGGCTATAAAAGCTCTGTGCGGGCATTCATGCCATCTTAAAGGTGGCAAAGGTAATGCCCATCGTAGTTCGACGCTGGGAATAGTATGGTTGCACCTTGGTGGAAGAAACTTCCTAGGAGACTAATTATATGCTTGGCGAGCACATAGGAGCAACGCTTGCTTGCAACTTATCTGTAGTAGCATTACGGCGACTTCATTACCTTCACAATATTCTTTCTGAAACGTTCTTTCATGCGAAAAGACCCCATAACAATGGCCAAAGACACCACCAATAAAATAAACCAGGGCAAATATAATAATGATATTTGGCGACAGCTGGAAGGTGCCAATGAGGATCGTGGTGAATTTCAATCAAGTAAGTCACTACTCAGCTTTGTTTGTCTAACATCTAGTTGGGTAGGCACCGTTCTCCGGGCGCTGGCAGCTGCTGGACTACCTTCTTATCAGAAGGAAAAATCAGCCGGACGTGTTTGTGACTAAGGCAATCTGTGACGCCGACGGCTGGACTGATCACAACCTCGTCCTCTCTAAGAACAGGCTCCGACTGTAATCTAGCAGAAGACCACAGAGTAAGCGGTCGCCAAGCCAGTTAAGTACTGTTCTGTTAAATTTGCCTGCCCATCGCTTCCATTTTGAATAAAGTTGTCCCAGCGACTGGTTAATCTGCAGGCTCGGGCGTTAACGTCACAGTGGAGACACCGTGGTGTCAAATGAGGGGCCTTATCAATTCCGCCATCCTCGAGGTCCTCGGTCGGGCACGTCATCAACATCAGAACTGGTTTGATGGCAATGAGTCTTCTACAACAATGCCATTAGGGGTACTCGCTGACAGGGCGGACAATTGCGACCACGCAGACCTTCCTCACGGATGCACAAATAAATACGGCGACTAGAGAGAACGTCGCTAAAGTCAGACAGGCATTGGCGGAAACGGTGAAGACTAGAGCAGCAACCTATGAAACCGACTGGATCGCCGATACCAAGGCCGCAAGTGCAATTCGCAGGTCTCAGGCACCTTTGACCCACAACACCCATACTCAATCCCTCCAACATGACCACGCTGCCAACGAACGTTCTGCGCACGGACTGACCTCATTGGATACCTTCGGATCCAGGACATCAACAGCCCGATATCTCCACCTGCTACCTCCGCAAACTCCCCCATCATTCAACTAGCAAAAATTAATACGTCGGAAACTACCGCCACCACTGGTGCCTCCAGGTATCACGCTTCGAATGCCCTTTCGCCATCGATCACCGCCAACCACATCACCCCTGCCACATCCACTGCGGCGACAACGACAACTACTATCTCTCATACTCTCGCCACCGATGAGAACACTCTTGACTTCCCCCTAACCGTTACACTCACCATCACCGGCAATATGGACTCAATCCCAGCCTGTGCTCATCGTGGTGGCATATTCACCATACGCATCGGTCTGGTCCATCACTCGTGAATTCAATGCACAGAGACTAGTGAACCTGAGCCTGGGACACCAACATGCTTCAGACGTCACCTCACACTTCGATATCGCATGCGCCTCTAATGAAAACCTGTCTTAAACCACCGCAGACTAAATCCAATCACCACACATTTCCCATCAACACATGCATCACACATGAACGCGTTCGACATCATTCGTCGCAGGCACGAACTGGGCACCACTCACGTTAGTGGAAAGTGTGCTTTCGTCGCCTCCATGCGAACCCCTACTACATGTCACCTTCGAGCAGTCCACTCCCATTGTATGAAAAGCTGGTGTGCTGTGGGGAGCCAGACAGTGTGTAACACGCGCAGGCAGGTTGTTGTAGCTCTGTAAGCCACCTCTCCCAACCCCAGCATCAGCTAGCTGACCATCTGAGCCAATCGACTGGTGCACGGAAAAACAAAGAGGCTGAGTTCGACTCCTAGAGGATTTTCCTCTACGCGCTTGAGACTGTTATGGCGTGCTAAAAGCTGTGACTTAGAAAATTGCCCAATGACAATTCAACTCAGACCTTACAGTCAGTCCGGTTATGTGATGTGTGGAATGGCCGACTGTTGGCAGGACAGTTAGACTCCAGTGACTCTTTACATTGTGTGCCACAATTGGGAGTCTATCCTCCCCTTCTTTTTTGTGATATCCTTGTCGTTTGTGCGCGGACTAGAGGTTATGGCTGCACGCCTATATGTGGATTCACACGACGCCAACAAACCACGCGCTTTTCTGCCTCCGGTCTTCTTGACTCTGTCATGACAACGGGTCTAGTTGGACAAAGAGAAAGTGCGGTAGATTCGGCGAAAGTCTACTATCATTAAAAGCGAATTTACGCGCAAATCACAGTTCCTGCGCCCATAATGCTGTGGGACACACGGTGGAAATCGTCGGAATCGCCGTACAATTCAAACCATGCACATATGTTTTGTCATGTTTTCCTGGATCAAATATACCGCCTGTTTCATGATTCGAAAATTCACAGCTTTTGTCAAAAACGAGAACTAACTTATTGGAAAGAGTCTGTTCTATTGGAAGGAAGCTAAAATTTGCCACCGTAAAGACTTAGAAGGCAGATTCCATCGCGAATTTTCACTTGTCTTAGGATCACCAATTTCAAGTTCTGCATTGATGTATGGTGGTTGCATAAAATTGGCTTAACACAACGGTAGGTCAAGCATTTTCTACTAGTCTTCTGTTAATCAAACGAGGACACCGCACGGAGAACATGAAATCCCCTTTTCTACGAAACTTAGGCTCCCCTGCCTTATGCTTACCGAATTCACATACAATCTTAATATGGTCGGCAGTTTGAAAACAAATGTAGCAATGCAGGATGAAGACTTGGCGAACATCAGCTTTTGATCATTAGTCTCTAAGCCTGTACAGTAATATAAGTAAGATACGGCAAAGCAGAGAAGTTGAAAACAACCTGTAGTCACGAGAAGAGGGTTGAGATATTTTGGACATGTTATGTCCGGTAAGGGACATTTAAAGAGGAAGGGCGGGGTCTGACGGTGAGCTTTGCTTATGTTTCATCACTGCAGATCGGCGTGGCAGGGTTAGCAAGCGCACATTTATGGCCTAGCATGGGCCATGGGAGCTCGAGGATCTGTACAAACGCCGTGTATGAGCACAAGATTGGGTTGACTGGTCGACTAATTACAGTTCTATTCTGTCAAAAGTGTCCGCTGGCGAAGGAACTTGGAGTGCCTCGCCAATGCTTTATGGAAGACTCGAAGTGGTTTGTTGAGGTTTGCCCGGTGACTGCTGCCGACGAAGTGAACTATAATTGCGCTGAAGTAATAGACTTGCCATGGTTTACCCGGGCAGTATGGTGCTCTCAGATCCGCTTGGATATATACGTGGTCGTCCAATCAATATAACCCACCCCACAGGAGTAACTAAGGGCGTCAATGAAATTGAAGATGTCTGAAAAGGCAGGATATCTTAACCTTCATGAAGAAAACAAGGAGTGTTTGAAAAAAATTAGTCTTATTCCGAGGGTTGGGTATGTACGCGCAGTAGCGTAGTTCCAACGACCTATTAGAAGTGCGCTTGTCGGGTCTCATTGCAATGGCAATATGAAAAATATCTCCTTTTCTAGCTGTGAATACGCCCCTTTATGGCGAGCGTTCTTCCAGAATGCTTCGCATAAAAGCCGGTTTGTTCTCTTACCTATTCGGAGTAAATATTCTCCTAATTAGGTTGGTCTGATAGCGTACTGAGCTTCGTTTCTGAATTGGAGCGACAAAGCTGTAAGAAATTATCTATTGGCCTGTCAATGTTCTCTTGCGAAATGCACTTCATGAATCGTTTTCTCAGACGTTCTACTAAGTAAGGCGTTCATGAATCTGGTTCATGCCACGTTGCAGCAAGGCTGCCAAAGTCTCTCAAACTGTCAGAAGATAGGTGTTCATCCCCATCAGCATGCAAACGAACAGCTCGCAAATGTCCATAAATGTATATGAGAAAATGCAAGCCCGTTCCACTATCATTTTTCGTTTAATAACAGCCAAATAAGCAAATTCCTGATTTTATAATAAAACAACATGTATTACAACGTTTTCGTTGCATGCAATAGTGGCTTTAACAATCATTGACTAAGGAGGTTATTCGATCATTTAAATGAGTTTGTTTTACGTTCAAATATACGGGAAAAAATAAGGCAAACTATCTTTAGCAAGCGCCCTACTTATAATGTCCACAGTTAGGTGCAGTTGCGGGCCTTAAATTGTGTGGTCTGTTTAGAAGTGGTCCTAACAGAGCTACGTGCTTATTATTGAGGCTCTGATGGATTCATTGTGGTCCGCGTCCTCATTCTTGGTGTTTCGACTGGGAGTCCCGAAGGCAGCACACCATCCTTAGTCCTACAACGTTAACCGTCTTTTAGATAATGGCGTAAAGCAGGGAACAGCAACATGCGCCGTTTGGCTTGAAGGATGTCCACTAATCACGCCGCCTGCAGCTAATTCGCTGTGTAAATACCTTCTCAGCCTACGACATTATTTCACAGCCAAGCTCGTAGCCAGTCACGTGCGCATAAACTGTAAATTGTGATCTCTGATTCGACCTTCAGACAGATATTTAAGGCTCTTGCGTTTGTGTCCATAATTTTGACAGGTTTCGCCAATGCATTTGCATTCCAACGTCTGTCTTGCAACGGCCACACAACGGCTAATTCCTCCCATTTAGAGCCGAGCCCTTAACGTAGTAACGAAATTTCGAGACGGATTTAAAAGTGATTCCTAAACTAGGTGGCCACCATAACGTCCACCAATGAGCCTTTCAGGTGCCTGGTGTATTACTATAATGAGTGCAGGTTAACTACTTCATTCTAGCTTTTCTGATATTCCAACATCTCTCTACGAACGTCGCAAGTATCCGCTTGCTCTATAAAGTTCTGCAGGTAAGTTCACTTTGGTGCTCTTGACGGCCGACTGGCTGCATTGAATAGTCAGTCTCTAATAAAGCGTGCTCGCAAGGCTCTTTTCTTATTAAATCGAAGGGCTGCGGTGAAGAAATTGGTTGTTTAGTTTGTTTATGGGCTTTTTCAAAGATCACAGTAGATAGATGGTCACTGGGCTTGAGGCTGCTGAGAACACCTACTGAGGGGGTCATGCTGAATTGTTTACACGCATTCTGGTTGAATTGTACTTTGGAAAAGGTAAGGTTTAGATAGAGGCGTGTGTTTGTCCTTTCAGTGACGAATTCTGTTGCTATCCTCTCATTTAGTCTGTCGAGTACGCTCCGAAAAATACTACTCAGGCGGATCCAGGAGGGCTAAAATGTATGTAGAGGCGGTATCTACACGAATTGGTTCCTTCTCAGACAGAGTCAGCCGCGGACTGGTATATACTAGCCTATCATTTTTCACCGATGCCAGAAACTGATTTCAGAGGGCTGAGTGGAATATCCATTTGCTTTTTTACTCAAAAAACCACTAATTCAGGCGTCTGAAAACTCAAGTAACTCTGACTTTCCATTGTTTCTACCTTTAGTGTCTTTTCTCCGTCCAGAACCAAATTTTTGTAAAATTGTGCAAAACCAACCTTTGCTTCCAATCCGAAAATAATATTGTCGTCAACTGCATTGCGTGTTTTTCTTTTAAACTGATAAGCTCACATTTAATTTATTTAGGCAGGAACCAAAATTGCTAAAATACGTCACAATCTGCTAAATAACTGATTACCTACGCCAAGCTGAATATGGGATGTAACAATATTTAATGGTCCAGAGTATAACTTCGCTAAGTCTAAAAATAAAGACAGCAGAGTTTTAAATTACTAACTGAATAAATAGATTAATCATGCAGGTGAGGAAAAATCAGTTTCTATTTACGTCTGCAAAATAAGAGTTGTGCGTGACCGTAAGACATGGACTGGATACGCGAGTCAGGATACGAACGAGTGCTAGTAAATGTAAGCATGGTGAGATGAAAAAAGAGACATGAGCGGGATCAGAAAAAACGTCTTGTTGAAGGTCGCTCAAAGACTAAACTGAAACTTTTGGCGCACTGACAGTTTCGTGTCCAGTCAACGCACAAACAGCTTACTCCAGTTAATTTATCGTCAGCTATACTGATACGTTCGACCAAAAATCCTTGCCAAAGGTGTGATTGCTAAAACATATCCCCAAGCGCCAACTTCTGCTTTTACCTACTTTGCGAAAAAATTACCTAAGAATAACCAAAATGTTTGCCAGACTGGATTAGGAAGAAGGAGATTGGTTGAGCCCCGGGTTCATTTTTTTATTTTTCTGGGTGTTTAAACTCAGGTAGAGCAACCGTAAAATAACTCCAACATTCGCTTTCATTCATGCATGAACTAGAAACAGGCGCGTTAAATTATCAATGTCCAATAATTTGCAAAAATTTCAACATGTAAATAATACTACCTACATAACATTCATAAAAGCAGGAACAGTATTTTGAAGACACATCAGTTTCAGCAGAAGTGTTAAAACATTTATTCTTTGAAGAC